GAATGTACTTTCTCCTTTTTGCTGACTTAGATGCTGCGCATACTTTTGATTACAGTTCAAGCATCATTTGTTCAAAAGAGCTTTCTCAACCTCCTGATAGATTCAGATGTTCCCTTTATAAAGTTCTCTGAAAGTCTGTCACATTTAGAGGTGTTCAGGAGACTTTGTGGGCGTGTAGTCGTTTTCCTTGCAGACGAAGTGAGCAGCAGAAGGGAATCTCTTTGGAAGACTGAAGACTGCAGCTCAATGGAACATGAGTCAGACACTGAGTTTTAGGTTAGCTTGCTGGTGACTAGCTGTGTGAGAAGTCCAGATTTTAGCTTCCTGATCTGTTATACCAGGGTGGTGCCTAGACCTGTCCAGCACTGAAAAGATGTGGGGCACTTTAAAAAAGCAGAAGTTCAGCTTCCAGTCAAGATGGTGATGTAGGCAGACATAGCTCAATCTTCACACAACCACATCAAAATTACAACTAAAATATAGAACAACCATTGCTCAGGAACATCAGAAATTGAGTTGAATGGAAGTCTAAAAACTATGGAATTGAAGAAACCATGCAGACTAGAAGGAGGCACGTGGATGCGGATTGGGCTCGTTCCACATCCATGTAAATAAAAATTAGGGAGAGATATCTCTGGAGCAAGGAGTCGCACACCCACTCCAGGACCCCAGCCCAGGATTCCAGTACCAGGAAGATAAGTCCCCACAACTTCTGGCTACGAAAATCTGTGGGGACTGAGTCAGTGGAGGAGCCTGCTGGAGCGCTAAGCAGTTCCTCTTGGGGAACCCACACATAGACTCACCCACTCAGACTCGCTCCCTCTGACCTCCAGCACTGGGGTGGCAGCTTGAAGGGCTCCAGTGGTATATAGAGAGAAACTGAAGTGTCTGGCACTGGGGGAAGCAGAGGCCATTGTCCTTTTGCTGAGCCCTCTCCCCAACAGAACCAGCAGGCTGGTGCCATATCTGAGACTCCAGCAACCTGGCTAACACTGTGTGACTCACCTTGGACATCCACAGAGGCTCTACCCCACCCAACTTATGGGCCCACCCAAGCTGCTTTTCCATAAGAGTACTTGGCCTTGGCTCCTGAATCCTATCGAACAAGCAACAGCTGGCTTCAGTGAGCCCTAGTGACAGCTAGATTAGAGTCACAGCTTGGCTTCACCTGGGAATGTCTAAGCCTAACACAAGTAGAGCCATCTCAGATTGCTTTATAGCTCAGGCAAGGGTGCTCCAGGCAAAATACAGGTGTGGACTGACCTTGGCCTGCACCACCCGAGAAACGCTAGGGCCAATGCACACAGTAGACAGCTACATACCACCTTGGAACACCACTACCCTGCCCCTGCACAGATGATCCTTCATGGAGGGCAGAGGTTGGTGGTCAGTGGTTACAGCCAGTCCCAGCTGACTGGTCTGGGTAAATCCCTCCCATTGACTTTCAACATTGAACAGCAACCAAGGCTCAACTACAAGAGGAGGGTGAACTCAGCCCACACAAAGGGCGCACCTTGAGTACCCAGCTTGGGTTATAGGGGAGGCCGTGCCACTGGACCCTACAGGACACCTACTACATTGGGCCCCACTATCAAGACAGGGAGTCAAAGCAGCTCTACTTAATACATATAAACAAACACAGGAAGGCTGCCAAAATGAGGAGACAAAGAAAACATGGCCCAAATGAAAGAACAGATGAACTCTAGAAAAAGCTAAATGAAATGGAGAAATCCATTTCAATCTATCAGATGCAGGGTTCAGAACACTGTTTATAAGGATGCTCAAGGAACTTAGTGAGGACCTCAGCAGCATAAAAAAGACCCAGTCAGAAATGAAGGATACACTAATTGAAAGAAAAGACAACTTATAGGAAAACAACAGTAGAATGGATGAAGCCGAGAATCAAATCAATGATTTGGAACATAAGGAAGCAAAAAACAACTGTGCAGAACAACAAGAAGAAGACTCCAAAAAAACTGAGGATAGTATATACAGCCTCTGGGACAACTTTAAGAAGTCCAACATTCACCTCATAGGGGTGCCAGAAGGAGAAGCAGAAGAGCAAGAAATTGGAAACCTATCTGAAAAAATAGCGAAAGAAAACTTCCCTAATTTGGTGAAGGAAATAGACATGCAAGTCCAGGAAGTACAGAGAGTCCCAGTTATGAAGGATGCAAAGAGGCCCACTCCAAGATACATCATTATTAAAAGGCCAAATGTTAAAGATAAAGAGAGACTCTTAAAAACAAGAGAAAAGAAATTAGTTACCGGAAGATTGCTGGGTGGGAGCAGGAAGGGGGAGCATGGGTGGAGCAGTGAGGGGATTAAGAAGTACAAATAGGGCCCTGGCTGGTGTGGTTCAGTGGATTGAGCCCTGGACTATGAACCGAAGGGTCACCAGTTCAATTCCCAGTCAGGGCACAGGCCTGGGTTGCAGGCCGGGTCCCCATTGGGGGATGCGTGAGAGGCGATCACACATTGATGTTTCTGTCCCTCTCTCCTTCCCTTCCCTTCTGTATAAAAATAAATAAAATCTTGTTTTTAAAGAAGTACAAATAGGTAGTTACTGAGTAGCCATCGGGATGTAAGGTACAATATAGAAAATGGAGTAGCCGAAGAACTTACACGTATGTCCCATGGACATGAACAATGGTGGGGGGATTGCCTGAAGGAGTGGGGGATGGTGGGTGGAAGAGGGAAAAGGGGGAAAAATCAGGACAGCTATAATAGCATAATCAATAAAATATAATTTTAGAAAATTTAAAAAATAAATAAAAAGCAGATGTTCATGGAATACTTCCAGTTCTAATAATTCTAATAAGTAATTTAATAACTGTTTTAAGAAGATAAAAAGCAGGTGGGAAAGAAACAACTTATTACTTTCGAAGGCTGACTTTGTAAGTCAGCGGTGAGCTACACTGAGGCCGTAGTGTAAAATGTCTGCTATTTGAGGTTCTAGTGATATTAGTTAAGCTTACATGTTTCATTCAGAAATAAAAAACACGATACTATTGTTTCAGTATGTTTGTAGTATTTTATTAATCCCAGCATTGCTCAGACCAGGGGATTCAGATTTAAAAGCAGGCAAAAATTTGTTTAGGCAGTGATTTAATTTAAAGGCAGAAGCACACTTAGTCCCAGTTATTATCTAAGCCAGTAAATCTTTTTAGGATTTAAAAATACTTATATACACATAAGTTTGTATTTATGTATGTATATTCTTTGTAACAAAATCTATTTCTTACTATGAATTACATATAAGAAAGTTTAAAAGCAGTTGTTTCAAACTGAGTTATGTGATTCAGCCTTAATGATATATTCTTAATTTTCATTTGGGACTGGAGTTTAAGAGGAGATGCATGGAACACAGTATGAAGCAGATCCATATTGCAGGTGAATTTAGGATTGTTAACTCTCCTTAATGGAAAACTAGAAAGGGTTTGTAAAAGAATACACCTCTTTTAGATTTGCTGTTCATTTTACTATGGGTATTGTAATGGAGAAAACTCTTTAATTACGTGCATTACAAAAGACTGGAAACCTCAAATAGCCATCTCTCTGGCTTTTGCTTAGCCCATTTTATTTCTGTTCTGTGAACTATGATCATCAGTGACAAGGAAACAATTTGATTCCTCAAAAGGAAAAAAAAAAGTGTATTCTAGTGTTAAAGTTAAACATATGATTTAGAGAATTAAAATTGTTTTGAAAATTGGTAATGTAGACATGGAAAAGGTAATGAAGTTTAGTTAATGTTGGACAGATTTTTATCACCATTAGAAAGCATGCCTGAGATAGTCTGACTTAAAATAACATGGGTTCTCCTAAGCAGCTGAGTGGACCAGCTGATTTTGAATATGCCCTTGGTTACGGTAAGAGGATGTGGTGGTTTTCTTCAGGGAAAAAAAAAAAAAAAAAAAAAAGGAAGAGCTTGCTTGCTTTATTTAAAAAAAAGAAAAAGGAAGGTCTTCCTGTTTATTAATTTAATTATTAAGCTTCAGGGCATGATCAGGCTGATATTTTAAGGAACAAGTTATAATGTGGTTTTAAATGCTTATTGACAAACACAGTTTGGTTAGGTTACAAAAGGGTGCCACTGGAAAAAAATGTTACTTTTCTGTCTTAAAGTATTACTCTAGGCAGTAGCAGATAATTTTTCAGTAGTCACTGATGTGATACTTAAAACACAAAATAAGCCAATTTTTTTGTGAATGTGCTATGCAAAAATTTTTTTTCTCATCTTTTTACTATAATATCAATAATTGTGTAAAAGAGCTTACATTGCCTTCTTGTGTCCTTCCCTAATGTTCTTCTCCCCACCTCAAGTCATGTATCAGCAAGTTCCTGAGAATTATTTAATATAGTAAAGAAAAAAATTGTTTTGCTATAATAAGGGCAATAGTAATCCCCCTGACCCCTACCCAGGCATAAAAGCACAGGACTTAGAGTTGTTTATCTCTAAAATGGAGAATAACATCTATTTTATAAGCATTTTATGAGGTTATGAGATTAATGCTAATCTCAGTTCCATAGCATTCAATATGTTTGTTGTTGCTATTATTTATCATAATATAAAATAATATTTTTATTGTAATGCCTAAAATCTTTACGCATTCCTTATTTTCTGCAAAATATATCATTTGGGGCCAGGCTTACTTTCTAAGCTCCCTGTACCTATTATAATCAGGGGCATGTAGTGGCCAAAAATAATCAATTCATGACTTTTTGCAAATTATAATATTTGTACTCTTCTATATAGTTTTATTTTTATGTTTTTCTTTTTATGAAAAAAATACAATAAGAATATAAAGTATGAATGTATGTAGAGTCACCATATATGTACCTGGGTATCATCAATGGACTAAACAGTGTGATACTCATAAAAGATTTGTTTGACAATTTTGTAAACAGGGGTGGTATGGGGAATTTAAAGTGCAATTTATTCAATTTTTTAGATATTTCAAACATGTAATAATAAATCTATATTGTTTTCTTTTTAACAGATGGGCTTAGGTCATGAGCAAGGATTTGGAGCTCCTTGTTTAAAATGCAAAGAAAAATGTGAAGGATTTGAACTGCACTTCTGGAGGTAATATTTTGAAAACTACAACCACATTAGGAATTTCTACTCCTTGGCACTACTTCCTCAGATAGTGGGAATCTCTTACAAGTTCTTTAGGCTGGTTGCTAAATTGCAGATCTGTTACATTCTTTTCTAAGAAATAAATAAAAAATAAATCTATTCCATATTCCTGTCATTAAGTTTGAGCTAATTGGGCCACAGTAACTATATTCAGAATTGTTTGATTTATTTGCTATCCTTCAGATGTCCTGTGAATATAGAATGCTAAGTATGTCTCTTTTTTGAGTGACAAGTAAGTTTGTGGTAAAGTCCTGGGAATGTTTATTAACTTAATTATTAGTCTTTTTAAAAATAATTATTGGTAACTTTGTACATCTTGTCTGTATATTTGCAATAAACAATAAATATCAATGATGAATTGAACATTCAGATCCAGATTGTCAGGAAACTTGAATCTGAGTCTCTTCAAAATTTTCAGCTATAAATATACTGCTGAAAAACTTTGAAACACTTGAATTTATAATAATAATAAAAATAATAATAATTCATTGCCAATGTCTTGATTTGAATTGTGTCTAGGCCTGGCTGGTGTGGCTCAGTGGACTGAGCGCTGGCCTGTGAACCAAAGGGTCACTGGTCCAATTCCCAGTCAGGGCACATGCCAGGTTGCAGGCCAGGGTCCCTAGTATGGGATGCTCGAGAGGCAACCACACATTGATGTTTCTCTCCCTCTCTCTCTCCCTCTCTTCCCCTCTCTAAAAATAAATAAATAAAATCTTTAAAAAAGAAAGAATTGTGTTTATATATGGAGGACAAATGTTAGTAGATCAAAAAATGTGAATTTTGTATAGATCTTACTTGTATGCTATTAAAAGTAATATTGTATGTCATATAAATCTAAAATTATATTTAAAACTAATTCTAATGAAGAACCTAGATGTTGTTCATCAGTGGTGGTTGGGACTGTAGTGGTAGCTCATAAGTCTGTTCAAAGCTAGACTCAGAACATTATTGTTAGAAGGAGAAAATAAATACAATCAATTATACATCATTAGGACTGCAGCTGCCTGTTAGAATGAATCTCACTTGAGAACCACTTCTATACTGACTGTTTCTATAAGAAACTGTCTAGAGTAAAAAAAATCATGAGCTACTGGGGCTATATACAGCATAAGTTAAAGAAGAATGTAGAAAAATAAAGTGGGGATATTAGTCTCTTTTAAAAGCTAACTTATTTAGTAAGTTTTAGGAAACAAAGGCAGTTGTTTTAAATAGTGAAGGCAACAGAAACTTCAGCTCTCCTAGAAATTAAGATACAATTCTCTGTTTGTAGGGAGCTAAAATTTTCCAGGGAGTTTTTAAATTATAAGACTTTAATAGCTCATCCTTGTGCTACCTTTTCAAGGGACATAGAGGTTAGGCAATATATCTGTCATGTTTTAGAAAAGTAAAGACATTAGACACAAAATAGTTTTCATTGATTAGTATATTTTATCTTTTAATATGTGCACCAGTCTCTTGTACTCATAGTGCCTTTGTGGAGAGCTGCACTGCCCTCTGCTGGGCATAGTTCTTACTTTACAATTTTTTGTATTATTATTATTACTATATTTATTGTTTATGCTAGTACAGCTGTCCCCACTTTTCCCCCTTTACCCATCTGCACCCAGGCCCCCCCTCAGGCAGTTCCCATATCGTTGCCCTTGTCCATGGATCATGCATATATGTCCTTTGGCTCATTCCTTCATCTTCTCTCATCCAGTGCTCCCTCCCCCTTCCCTCGTACAGTTGTCAATCTGTCCCATGTATCTATGCTTCTGTTTCTACAATCTAAAAATAGTCTTCTTATTTCTTCAATACAGTTGCTCAAAACTGTTATGAGATTATTAAACCTCATTCCTAAGTGACAACATCTTTTCTTCAAACCAGAAAGTTAGTTTATAGTGATTTTTGTTTGTTTTATATAATTTTTCTATTGCTGTTCACGATAATCTGATATTTTGAGAAAAAATATGTTTGACAAGAGTAGATCTCTGTGGCATGAAAACCACTTTTTAAAAAAAAAATTTCCACACAGAATCATAAACTTGTCTAGGTGTAGTCTGAAAATACGTTAGGAGCCATGAAAGTCAAAGGCTTTGGCATGACCTTCAGTCTAGTTTGGGCCCATCCCATTGGTACTAGTGTCTTCTCCCTGGCAGGAGTCCAGACACATTTTTCTCAGAATTTTTTATAATTCCCTGACTTTGCCACCACAACTGGAAGGCTTTGAGGGCAATGCCTTTGACCTTCAGATGAGCCATTTTCAGTAGTCTTCGAAGTAAAATAGTCTAGGCCGGTTGTTCTGAGTGTATTGAAGATTCCAGGTCCAGTCTAGGGCCACAGAACTGCTGTGATTAAAGTGGGCATGGGGTCCCAGGGCCCTGCCCACTTATCTCCTTTTCCATCTTTATGGTGACCCTTTACTTCTAGGCCCCTTGGGTCTTCGTGAGGCACAGTGGGAGAGTCAGAGCTACATTATTCTCCACTTTTTACCAGTCTGTCCCTCCACACAGATACAAGAATGGTCTTTTGAAAATGGATCCTATTGTATACTTCCCAATAGCTTAAGAATCTTTGGTGCTATGCCACTGGACTTGATCCTTTGGGCAAAGTCTTTGGCCTTTATTGTTAAACCTCAGTGATTGGCCTCAACTTAGTTTTCCAGTCTCCTCTCTCATTTCCCTTCCAAATATCTTGTGCTCCAGCAGCTTGGGTAGATGCTGCTACCTAAAGTTTCTGTGCCTTTTTGCACATTTCCTTTGCCTGGAAAGACCTTACATCTGACCACCAGGAAACAAAAAGTCTCTCCTTTACATTTCAGCTAAAGTACTGCCTCTGAGAAGTCCTCCATGCTCCCAATATTAGTCTGCTCAGGCTTCTATAACAGAGTATAATAGACTGTGTGTAATAAACAACAGAAATTTATGTTCTTACATTTCTGGAGACTAGAAGTCCAAGATCAGGATGCCAGCATGGTTGGGTTCTGATGAGGACCCTCTTCCTGGTTTATAGATGATCACCCTCTTGTCATGTCCTTACATGGTCTTTCCTCTGTGTGTGCACATGAAAAGAAAGACATCTCTCTCTCTCTTCCTCTTGTTATAAGGCCACCAATCCTATTAGATTAAGACCCCACCCTATGACCTCATATATCTTTAATTACCTCCTAAAAAGTCTGTATCCGATTATAGTCACATTGAGAGTTAGGGCTTCAACATACAAATTGAATTGGGGTGGAAGGCACAGTTCAATTTATAGCACCCTCTTTCCCTGCTTCCACACACCTCCAACTAAAGGATTATTTTTCCCCTTAGCACTTTGTACACTTGTTGGAAGCCAGGAAACACTGAGACCTGACAGTTCATCACTTGGATATCCAGGTGGTACCTTCCATTACAGGGACAAGGTAGTCTACTGCTGCATTCCTTGTAGGTCCGCCTCTTGGGGCGTAGTACAGGGTAATTAATAAAGGGTGTTGAATGGAGCTGGAGAATGAATAGAAGAGATCTAGCAGGTATGATAACAGTTGCAAAATGCTAAAAATGAATTCTCAGCTTAAGGAGGTTTAGAGTGGAACTTGCACTAAGCTAGCCACACCTCACTTTACTGATCAAAGAACCCAAAGAAATTAAAGTGACTTATTTGAGCTTATAAGTTATTAATATGGAATATAATTTATGAACATTTCCTATGTACTGCACACCAATAAACACGTGTAATAGCTTTTTATTGCTGCACAGCAAATTACAAATTTAGCAGGTTAAAACAATTCCTATTAATTAACTCAATATCTGTTTATGCTTTCGGTCAGAAGTCTGGGCGGGCTTATTTGGATTCTCTGCTTAGGGTCTCAAAAGGCTGAAATCAAGGTGTTAGCCAGGTTGGGCTCTTATTTGGAAACTCTGGGGGAAGTGTCTCCTTCCAGACTCATTCCTGCTGTTGGTAGAATTGATTTCCTTGTGGGTATAGGCCTGAGGTCCCTGCTTTCTTGCTGTCTGTCAACCAGGGGCTGGCTGTCAGCCTTTAGAAGCCACTCACATTCCTTTGTACAGAGCCACCCCCATCTTCAAAGCCAGCAACAGTGCTTAAACTCCTTTCTGTACCTCAGATCCCTCTGATGTCCTCTTCTGCTCTCAGCCAAAGAAAACTCATTCCTTTTGAAGGGCTTATGTGATTAGATTAGGTAACCTTGGGTAATAATGTCTCTTTGCCATATAAAGTAACATAATCATGAAAGTGACACCAGAGGGTAAAGGTGATAAAGACCATCTTTAAATTCTTACTACGACATTTTATGTACCTGATTTACCTTTGAGATAAGCGGTAGTTTTCCCATTTTATATATGAGATATAATAGACTTAGGAAAGTCAAATAACTTACCAAAGACATGGTTTAGAGATGGCAGGGCTGGAATTTGGACTCAAAGCTTGCCAGAACCTTCATCACCACCACCGTTCTTCGTGGCAGAGCAGAAACTAGAACCCAGGCTTATACTCTTATGACCAGTGAACATCAGACTGCACTAGTCTGTCTTCTATAAAGTGTGGTACTTTTGTGATATTGACATCTTTGTGGACAATGGGGTTCTTTAACTATGAGCTCACCCCTTCTATAATGAACCAATGATTAGACAAAAGGAAAATAAAATATTGAGGATGCCGAACACTTACTAAATAAAACTACTACCTTCTGGGCACACTTTCAAGTAATATTTGGAGATAATAAATATTTATGAAATATAAGACATAAACAAGATTACAAGATTATTTTATATTGAAAGCATAGTAATATCATTGGAACCATAGATTCATTTATATATATGTAACAGAATTATTTTTCTCTCTTATCTTTGATTAATCCTTCCAATAAAACAGTTGCATTTTACGAGAGAAGTATTATTTGAATATAGCATACATCTGTTCAAAGAATTTCTGATTGGTGTAGAGCTAGCTGAAGCTAAAAA